ACCTACGGATGCGCCCCACTGCTCTGGTATCCGTAATCTGCAGCTGCCTAATTGCATGTCAATTAACACAGCGCCTGGATGCAAGCGACACGAACGTCGCCTTTGGGTTAAAAGCCCCGGGATGGCAGTTGGGGTCATCCCGCTGCACTCTTACTGGTGATATAATTATCCACACACAGCACTACTGACTTCCACTTTTCAAAATTGAATCGCTTTCTCCCCTATTGTTCGGCTATTACTGCGCTCCAGATATATAAAGACATAACGCGGCAGTGTCCGAGTGCATTCCGCCATTTATAATACTTGAAAATCACATTGTAACAATGTGCGCACTTTGACGAATCCATCACTGCTGACCTACACTAACGTCTAAGGCGCAGTTTTGGTCTTCACCCTCCAAGAGCTGTCACCTTGGGACAGCAGTTTTAACATTTCACTGTTCTCGTTTTTGCATCGCTTTCTGGCTCATTTTTAATTTTATAAATGACTAACCACTCTGCCTTCACAATAGCCTGGGGCCCCCCGGACTTAGCGGGAACGCAATCACAGGCTCTTCATCGCTAGACACGTTAAAAATAATTACCATGCAGGCTGTTAGGGTTCTAATGGAGCTCAGCTTCATGCAAGGCTAATGGTTACTTCATTTTCTCAATTTCACTATATTTATCTTATTCAAGACAGAAAAAGGGGACGAGGAATAAAATTGTTTGAATACTTAAAATACATTTTTTAATTAGGCTCATATAGTATTGTTACATACATCTTTTATCTGCTTATCTGTAGGATGTAAGGTCATCGCAGGCAAGGCTCGGGCAGTAGTCTGGGGCACACCGTGGACGTGATGTCATTTTATTGCGGGATGCACACAAACAAAACTGCACTGGCTGTGAATTATCCCACCTGCCTGTCTTTGGACTGCAAGGGGAATTGAGAGCATGAGTAGGAAAGCCACTCAGCATGGAAAAAACACCATACACCGAAAATGGCTTGTGAATGTATAATTTAGGGGCTGCATGTGTTGTGTCCATGATCAGAAGGTTGCTGGTTCAAATCCCACGGCCAGCATAATGGTTGCGCCATTGGACAAAGCCCTTAATCCCACATTCCTCCATAGAGTGAGTGGTGAGTAGTTCAGTGAGCTAAGCCTTTGTGCCTCTGATTGGAAGGTTGCTGGTTCAAGCCCTGGCCTGAACAGTCACATGTCTGTGGGCGCTTGAGCAAGACCCTTAACCCCCAGCTCCAAAGGTGCTGCATATTGGCTGGCCCTGCACTGGGACCTCCAATCTATGGAGAGCAAGATAAGTTGTAAGAAGCTTTACAGTATATTTGTGGAAAAGGTAAATAAAAATGTTTGTTGACTGCCTGAATCTTCTTTCTCAAAGATGTAAGTCAGTTTGGATAAAAGCAAATGTATTCTAACCAATCTGCGGTTCTCTTAAACTACTGTGCACCTTCTCATCCTGAGCTTTCCAGTGTTGGGGAACTTATTCACCCATTACAGACAGAGGTGGAATCCAGACCAAGGTTTTGTTTCAACCAACCAGCTGAGTACTCTGTGAACCAGGGCTGGGGATCCTGGTCCATGGAGGGCCGGTGCGGGTTTTTGGGATGACCTCTCAATCAGCCAATAATAAAGCAGTGGTTCTTAACTCCAGTCCTGGGGACCCACTCTTATTGGCTGATTGAGAGGTCATCACAAAAACCTGCACCCACACCGGGTCTCCATGGATCGGATTCCCCACCCCTGCTGTGAACGGTGACTCTTTACGCTCAACTGGTTGGTTGAAACGAAACCTCAGGATTTGTATTTTCTGGACCTG